GAAAATCTACACTACAATGTGTGACCTGAGATCAAATATTCAGTCGGCATGGCCAAGATGCTTTTTCATAAAGTTAGTCAGACGTTTTTGAATGAATAGATTTCTGAGATCATAAGCCTCGATAAGCAGTGCTTGTGCGCAGATCATGACCACCCGATCGGAAAATTTCGTGTCAACGGCACAATTTACAGTCGAATATTGGAGCTGAACGCGGCCCACCCCGCTCACCGACTTTATCTGGCCTGTAACGCGACCACTGCCACTGACCACAGGCCATATTACCAATTAGAAACAAATGTGAGCGCCCGTAGTGACTCGAACCCGGCTCTCAACGCCAGGGCGGTGTTTCACGGCCGCTACTAGCACGCTTGAGTTACCATGTAGACATCAACAAACTCTGCATCAGTTCAGAGGTAAACGTGACACACTGAATCGGGAACTTGCACCTAATACCTAAGACCCCTCTGAATGCTCCTGAGGTCATCTCAGGTCATGAAAGGTCACCAGCAGTTTTTCGACAATAACTTTTGATAAAGACGTGCTAGAGCGGTCAAAAACGTCAGATGTGTTCAGCTCGACGATACGGATCGACTGATATGCAACGTGAACTTTTCCGGTCAGGTCATGCCGTTAACCTGAGGTCAACTTTTCAAAATGACCTTTCAAGGTCAACTGTTCATTCGACCCGTCTCGACGAGGGGAACACGATGCTGGCAAAAGAAATGTCTGACTCTCTGGAGTCAAAAGTTTTACCGAAAAACTTTGTTCGTGAAAACGTCTATATTTAGAGTTTTTGCCCTCTTTAGGCTAAACCGTTGACCTGAGGTCAAATCTGAGGACATGGCGGCGAAAGAACGTTGAACGAGCTTTCTAATGCGTTTTTCCGCGGCGCTATAGCTCTGTTGGTTCCCGAGTTAGCCGTATAGTGTTTCGAAAATTGTTGAATTAGACAATTTGACCTTTGATGACCTCTAGTGACCTGACCTTAAAAATGACCGAGCATTTTGGCCAATATTTTTGACGCTCCTTCGATTGCCGCTTACTGCGTGTCGCTACGTGGCCCAGGAGCCCAGTTAGATGGGGGGGGGGGGCGTGACCCCCCGAGCATGACACGGAAAAGTCAGGCCACCAACACGGCGCGGGCTAATTTAATTGAATTATTTCTGGTGGATGAGTAGATATGTGAAGTCAGAATGTCTAAAACATCTAATAAAAGCCGTTTTACGCAATCGCTCAATTTCGTCGTTTCATTTTCACCTAAAATAATGATGAAGGAATGATTGGCATAAACTTTTTTTGCAGGTGAAGAACATGGCCCGACAGAAGGTGCGCCCGGCCATGGAGCTGCTGAGCGCCACCGTCGCTCTGGCCATCGAGCGTCACCTCGGACGGCGGGAGGAGGTGCGTGCACTGCGCGTCCTGGACTCGGGCATGGATGTCCTGAACGCCATCCACCCCAAGGACGTCAAGCCCCTGCGGCGAGGCTACAGCGGCACCACTGAGCAGGAGTCCGCCTTGACTGCGCTGGAGAAGGAGGCCCGAGAACTGCGAGTGTGTCCGCGGAAGGATGCCCTCCTCCCCTTCCAGAAGGGGATCATCCTCTCCGTGTCCTCAGTCCGTGGCCTGCTCCAGGACCTGAAGGCCAAGTTCGGAGAGCAGACCTATCTTCTAACGCGCCGACTGAGTCAGGACAGACTCGAGGGATTCTTCGGAATGGTGCGCAGCGGCGGCGGGTCGAACCTCAACCCGACGCCGACCGAAGTACGCTCCAGGCTGCGCCTCCTCACGCTGCTGTTCGCCATCCAGCGCGGAGTACGACCGCTGAGCGGCGCCGGTCCGACTGCGCCTGCCCCGGCGGTGCCTAGCAGCGGAGAGGAGGCGGACGACCGGGACCCCGACTGGCTGGCGCAGCTGGCGCCACTAGAGCAGGAGCTGAGTCAGTCTGCCCTGGATGACGAGATGGCCGCCGACCTGCGGGAGTTCGCTCCGAGCCAACACCAGCCGGAAGCCGATGACAACCTCGAAGCGGAACTGGCCGAAATGGAGGAGCTGCTCAGGTCGGTGCCTGCGCCAGCCGCCGCACCGCCCGCCTCCAGAGCAGTCACCGGCGCCAGAGATCTGGAGACGGGCGTGTCGGCCAGAGATAGCGCTAAGGTATACGTCGCAGGCTACGTGTCGCGGAAGCGGTCGGCCGAAGACGGAGCGGCAGCGGCGTCCTCCGGCGCTGAACAGGACGAGCCGATGGGAGCCCTGTGGACGCGGCTGAAAAGCTTGGGCGGGCTGACCGTGCCCACGGCTGACTTCATGGACGTCTTTGACCAGATGGACGCCGCCTTCTCTGTGCACCACTGTATGGAGCCGGACGGTCTCAGCCGAAGGCCCGGAGTGGTTCGCGACTTCGAGGCGGTTCTGGAGTCCAAGTTCCGGTACGCGACGTCGCCTCAAGTCCGCCGGGTCTTCGCGCGCGTGCGGACTTTCATAGAGCTGCAGAGGCTGAACACTAAGCACCGAGCCCGAGTGAGCTCGAACGCGCAACGGGAGGGAAGGAAGCGTCGCCAGTATGTGCCGTCCTAAGGGCGTGGACTTGCGGGAGATGGTGAGCTTCATTGTGTGAGTGCGATGACTGTGATCGTCTGTTTAATAGAACGTATTGTTTGGTTCATGGCGCTACTTGATGTCACGTCGGGCTGTTAACGTTTCTGGTGTGGAATTTCATATCTCATTCTTGTGGTAAAGGTTTCCTGAAGCATGTGTTGCTAAAGGCTGTATTTGCTACTGCCAATGATCTCGGACGTGTCCGTTAGCTCTAATGAGTGCCAATGTGTGTTGCTCCTGCTGTAGCATTTGTCTTAGCGATGTCATTTGTCTTCTTCTTTGCTAAATGCACTCATTGATTCGACATCATCGCCCACTTATAGATGCACCTATATATGTGGGTGTCCTCGATCCTTCGTGATTATAAATGTACCTAAGTGTAAATGAATGGGTGTCCTCGGCCGTTAATGATTGTGCGAATGTGCAAATGAGGAAAATATCACAGAGTTCCCGACCCCGTGATTTTGGATTATGGTTTATGAGCGACATATCGCGTTTCTTGAGTATCCTATGGCATCTAACCGGAGAGGTGCCGGCATCGTGGTTGACGGTTCAGGTCTGAAGATGGGGGACGTTTTGAGCGTGTGTATGCCGTTTATGACACCGATTCAGGATCAAGAGGAGGCAAAATGTTTTCACGGGCATAAAAACGTGCTGATACTTATCGGAGGTGTCCATGCAAATTGCAAACCCATATCGTTTGAGGGACCTAACTAGTAGTTTGAGCTACGCTTCCGGCACAGTTTGAGAATGATTCTTATTTTGTGAAGTCAATGCATAATGTTTTAAAGCTACATACCTTTGTGACCATGTTTAAGGTGTATGCCGGGCGCCAAAAAGCTACCTAAGCGAAACATTGATTGGTGACCTGAAGTACATTAAATGTTGTAGTTATTATAAAAGAGAAAATTGATAGGGATAGTCGTCAATCTAACACGGAGGTAACAACATAAGGGTTGTCACCAATGCCGAACATTTGGCGTTTCTAGGTTCCATAGAAGTTAATCCTCTAGTGGGGGGTGATCGTCAGCTCCACCCGTTGTGAATTCGCGTTTTACAGGATGTCGTAGGCGGGCGCACAAAATATTAATTGAACCCGTTCTAGAGATGAACCATTCGAAAGCAGGATATATAAATTTTAGGGCTGCGGAGTCGGAGTCGGTAGGAGTCGACAGCTATGGCCGGAGTCGGAGTCGATTTTGGAAACTGGAGCTGGAGTCGGAGTCGCTAGTCACCAAAAATCTAGCGACTCCACAGACCTGGCAGGGCTGTAAAGTCGGTCGGAGTCAGAGGTGGAGATCTCGGGGGGGGGGGGGGGGGTCAGGACCCCCCTGAAAACGAATTACTGCTATGTAAGTCAATGGTACTGCATCCAGCCCGCCTCCATCTGCCCGGCCTGGACCCCCCCCCCCTGACATTTTGACAGATCTCCACCCCTGGTCGGAGTCGACAGTTCTGTCCGGAGTTGGAATTAGAGTCGGAGCTGGTTTTTGAAAGCCGGAGTCGGAGTCGGAGTCACTGAAAATCCATAGACTTCGTAGCAGGGCTGCAGAGTCGGAGTCGGAGTCGGAGTCGGTCGGAGTCGACAGTTGTGACCGGAGTCGGAGTCGGAGTCGGAGTCGATTTTAGAAACCCGAGCCGGAGTCGGAGTCGGAGTCACCGAAAATCTGTCGACTCCGCAGCCCTGCTAGGTCTGCGGAGTCGGAGTCGGGAGTTGGAGTCGGTCGGAGTCGACAATTCTGCCCGGAGTCGGAGTCGGAGTCGGAGCTGGTTTTTGAAAGCCGGAGTCGGAGTCGGAGTCGGAGTCGCCGAAAATCCATCGACTCCGCAGCCCTGCTTCGTAGCCCTTATTTCGTTTGCCTCCCATTTCTCAAATATTTCGTTTGCCTGCGTTTCTCCCACCCATTACATACACAAAAACATTGATCGCGCTGGGATTCGAACCCGCTGCTGAGGCATATGCCTATTTTCAAAGGCTTGGGAACATCATTTCCTCGCATGCAATCGAAAAGTAGTCTACAGACAAAACATTGAACTACTTATGAACTTTTCAAAAGTGCAATACAGTTAGTTATTTCGTACAAGATGACAAATAAATTGAGCGTAGTAGATCAGAATTCTACCATTGACTCAACGTAAAACATGGTTACCTTCTGTCTCTTGGGAACACGATTTAGCAGTCCCAAATCAAAAAACACTTCCAAAAGCGACAAAAGAACATGAAATTTCCAACAAGATAGGATCTCGACTTTCCCAGTTTCTGTCAAGAATTTTCCAGTAAACCGTCCTAAAAATCACAAATTTATCATTGCAGTCTATGGACCTAGTATGCTCTGTATCCCAAGACTAGCTCGGGCTGCCATATCTGTTGGGAGGGGGCCGGTTTATATAGCCTTGGGCTATAGCAAGTGATGATAGAACTCCGTGATGAAAATACCATTGCTCTTATTTTTATGTATCTGGGAGTTGGAGCTGACTGAAGTTGCTGGCTGTTCCAGTCTTTTCAACTAGTAATATTGCTTAGAAGCACAACAAACGCACTTTGCTTTGGTTTGGTGTCCACAAGATAGATCGTCAAGGTTAAGGTGAGAACTGTGTTACTGTAGGTATGTTGTTCATGATATGAATAAACTCATTTTTGGTATGAATTAATTAGACACCTGCTTGAATCGTCAGGCAGGGCGGCAGGGTACATAATGTCAAGAAAGAGATGGAAGATAAGTACAAAATACAAACCCTGGCTCATAGAGACTTAAAGACATGCCATTGAGAGCCAGACTTGGATTGGGAAAATACACATTATGTTGAAAATGTCTGGCGACATGGTGGGATTGCACCAAATATTAATTAAGCATAGTCTGGCGTAACCTCGTGCCAAATTCCGCATATGGTGGTTGACTCATCGACTGGTCACCAAATTTTTTGCTGCATGGCAGCTGCAGAATTTTCAGCAAATGGCAGTCACCAAGTTTTTCAGCACACTGGTTAATCTCGCAGCAGATTCGATTTTCCCTGCGGACTATTAGGTCGAGACTATTCAGGTCGGGATAAGAATTCCTGCGCCCCGATTGCAACTTGCGAGCCACCCTGAGTCTACTTAGAGGAGGTGAGGTGAGGCCTTCCCAGGTGAGGCCGAAAGGCCTTCAATCTCGTTGAGGGGATTGGTATGGAAGCGAACTAACCGCTCCGACCGCTCTTAGGGAGCACGCTGCTGCTCCCCATCCCCGGAGAGGACCGAGAGGACGCCGTTTAGGAGCAATAGATGAAGGCGCGCTTCAATACCTGCACCTGATCGGCCGTCTCCCCTCTGTGGCATGCCAGCAGTGCCCGCACAAGCGGTGCACCGGCCCCCGCGGCGGTCTGCACCATGTGCCGACGGCGCACGGGGCATGGCGATTCCCGGATGAAAAGTCAAAACGTTAAAAGTAAACGGATAAAAAGTCAAAGGACATTAAGTCAACAGACAGAAAGTCAACATCGCAAGAAGTCAAAGGACAAAATGTCAAATGAACAAAAAGTCAACCTGCCAAAAAGTCAACACGCCAGAAGTCAACAAGCTAAACGTCAACATGCAAGAAGTCAAAAGACATAATGTCAAAGAGACAAAAAGCCGACATGTCAAAAAGTCAACGTGCTAAAAGTCAACACGCTAAAAGTCAACACGCATAAAGTCAACACGCAAAATGTCAACGCGCAAAAAGTCAACACGCAAAAAGTCAAGACGCGAAAAGTCAACACGCCTAAAAGTCAACACGCTAAAAGTCAACATGCGAAAGGTCAACATGCTAAAAGTCAACACGCTAAAAGTCAACATGCTTAAAATCAACACGCTAAAAGTCAACACACAAAAAGTCAACAAGCAAATAGTTAATTATAGGTGCGCGAAAAGTTGATGCGCAAAATGTAGTCAACAGCAAAAAGTAGTCTTTAACAGTAGTCGTTTAATAAGTCGGTACAAGTACGCCGCAGCCCGCGTCTCAGCTCCGGTCGGCGACTGACCCGCGCCGGGCCACCTGATCCCCGGCCGCCGCGCCGCCCGCTGGGCGCCGGCTGCACCGCATAGCGCGTCTCGGCGCGTCCCCGTGCGTGCCCCGACACTACCGATAAGAACGCTCCTACCTATTTTTACTTTGCTTTGAAAAGTATATTGGGAATGTGAACTTATCTATATAAAGTTGGCGTACTGTGCCTGCTGGTGGCGGGAGGGGGGGGGGGGCAGTTCCGATAAGGAGACGTAGGGCGGCCGGCGGAGGCGAAGATGAAAGAGAGGGACAGTAACTGGTGGCCACAATGCGCTATACTTGTCACCTCTCTTTGCACGTCACAGCTCCTAGGTCCTAAAAAAATGTGTTTTAGCAATCGCATCTCGATAACTTAACACGCGCAGTGGAAGGGGGGGGGGCGGATTTCGCCCACCCCTCCTGTTTTTCGACAATAACTCGCGCCGCAAACATGATATTAATGTGAAATTTTGGCTACCTGTCCAGAATTGAACTGCGGATCTTCTCGTGCAAGAAATAAAAAAATCGGGTCACAACTTTTCTAGTAATAGCGGTGTAAATTCAAACATCCTGCCGCCGCGGCGGCGCGGCGGCCGGCGCTAGCCGTTACGCGCCGCCTGAATTGTAGACTGTGCCGGGGCGGGACGGTTCCGTCTTTACATCGCGCTCCTTACCGCTGATTATATTCGATTCGCGTCAAATTCTGTGAGAAGACTAAGAAATGTACAGGCAATCTTATGGTCAAAGAATTTTGAAAATCGGCCGGTAAAAACTTGAGTTATGAGTATGTAAACACAAAATTGTGATTGCCGCGTTTCCCGCGTCCGCCGATCCCGCTTCAGCCGGCGACATCTTACGCTTAGCAGGCTTCTAAGTTCTAACTGCCATGTTTATTGTTGGATTAACAAGAAATTCGCCATACATACTCACAAATGTATGTTCTTTCGTATAGTGAAAGGAGGAAAAAGAAAATCGGTCGGTAACTTTTTGAGTTATCGGCGTGTAAACGCAAAAAATTCGCTAATATGACAGATTTGACCACTTTTGACCTCATTTGACCTTGAAGATATTGACCTAGGGTCATGAAATTCACACACAACAGAGTTCCCCTGGGCCCCCACCTACCCTTCAAATTTCATCTTTCTAGCTTCAGTGGGAGCTGAGATCTTAGGGGGGGGGGGGCGACATCCGCCCCCCTTCCACTGGGCGTAGTACTCGCAACCCTTCCACTGCGCGTGTTAATTGACCTATGCATTTCGATGAAAATTGGTCACCTTAATTGTATGCAGTCCGTACCTTTCGATGAAAATTGGTCACCTTAATTGTATGCAGTCCGTAAATATTAACAGGTTGTTGTCTGTTGATGCTGATATGAGCGTTCCTTTCAAGGCAGGACAATCCGACAATCACACAATTGCCTCTCGTTCCAACTTCCACCTATCTAAAAGAAACGACGCGCTTTACTATTGTACCAATTGTACCATACAATACGCTTGAACTATAATAAAAGTGTGAAATCGCTTATAGAACCCGTGACGGAATCAATTGATAAGAAACGTCTCCCTACACGTACACAATATAGGAAATTTGAACAAGCGAACCTTTCGTATCAATAACATTCCGGGTTACTATATTTGTTGAAATAATTCCAGTAAACTGCGCATGGGACAGCCAGTTGTCTCGAAGGATCATGTAACGCTGCCTCATGACAACCTTACGATGCGAGCGAGCGACCACCTAGCACGTAAGTGTCAACGGATGTGTGTCAGATTTCACTGCCAAGCATGCCCGTGTGACCAGCTGAGTCGCGGTGACTGATGATCCAGGTGTCATTGACTTTGTCTCTTTGACTTGTCCTTTTGAGTTTTTGGATTTTGGTTTTTTTCCTTTGGATTTTTCGTAATTTGACTTAATGTCCTGTTGACTTTTCGTCTTTTGACCTTTGTCCTCTTCACTTTTTGTCCTTTTGACTTTTTGTCCCTTTGATTTTTTTGTCCTTTTGACTTTTTGGACTTTGACTTTATGTCTTTTTGACTTTTTGACCTTTTGACTTTTTATTTTGACTTCATGCCCGGTTGACTTGTTTTTTGACTTTTTGTCCTTTTGACTTTCTGTCCTTTTGGTTTTTTGGATTTTGACTTTATGTCCTGTTCACTTTTTGTCTTTCGACTTTTGTCCTTTTTACTTTTTGGCAATTTGATTTTTTGCCGTTTTTACTTTTTGTCTTTTGACCTTATGTCCATTTGACTTTTTGTCTTTTGACTTCTATGCTAGTTGACTTTTTGTTCATTGACTTTTTGGCAATTTCACTTTTTATCTTTTGACGTTTTATCCTTTTTGACTTTTTGCCTTTTGACTTTCCTCTTTGTTGACCTTTTACCTGTTGACTTTTAAGATTTTTGACTTCCTGCTTTTGACGTAATGTCTCTTGACTAATCATCCTTTTACCTTTTATCATTTGACTTTTTGTCCGGAACCCGGGCATGGCACGTGTGCTTGCGTGTGCGTGCGTGCGAGCGCGTGCGCGTTTGTGTAGAGTCATTCATGAATGAACTATCTCAATTTAATATTTCAACGAAGCCCATCGTTGCACTGAAATGTGACTGTACTTCCCCTTTTTGAATCTTTCAAGTTATTTACAGATTGGCATTGAAGTCGACATAACTGATGTAATTTGATGCTGTTAGAAACTTGTTGCATGGTGATGAGCTCTGAATTCTGAGCTGGTAATAGGAGAATGCTGGATATTTTTTTTTTCATTGGTGTGGCAAATGTTTCTAGGAAACTGATATGTGCAAAAATAAGCTTATAGGTATGGATATTTTGATTTGGTTTCACTTACTTTTTATTTTCTAATGTGCTGCTGTTGCTCTGGCAGTGGTTGCATGGGGCGGCGCCGATGGACCCCAGTCTGATACGGAGGTTGCAGCGGCTGCACGTGCTGCGGGCCGGCGGTCCGGAGCGGCGCCAGCGCGGACGCCGCAGCATGGAGGCGCTCGTGCGAGACCTCAGCCACGCGCTCGAGGAGAGCTCCTCGTCGTCCCATCGGCGGCGGCGCGGCTGGCGGCGCCGCTCACGCTCGGCCGGCACTCTGTCCGGCGCCCCGCGTGAGTGACCCATCTTCCCTGTGCGGCGCACTGCATGAGTGACCCATCCGTCCTGTACGGCGACCGTGTGAGATATTCTTTCATCTCTCCTGTCCGGAGCCCCGCGTTAGTGGCCCACCTACCACAACTGGAGGAAGGTGTTTCTTTCCACTACTATTTTACATCGTTTGTAATTTCTTTTTGCTTGATTTAGTCTGGAACAAAACGAGCTATTGCCGATTCATTGTAGTCACTTTCATTTTCGGCAGATTTCGGCCCTACAATTGTGGGCCGTGGGCACCATCCAAGGCGCATTTCGACATTCAAATTATATTAATTGTGAAAACCAGACAGCGAAGAAACTCACCCGTATTATCATCCCACTTGTTTAATCTTCCTCTCGGATTCTAAATCGTCCGGCCAACATTGCCCGATCTATTTCGACTGCATTTCATCTCTATTTACCTGCAGTCTGACCTTGTCACAGCTGCGGTCTGACCTTGTCACTGCTGCAGTCTGACCTTGTACTGCTGCGGTCTGACCCTGTCCCTGTCCGCCGCCCGTCTGGCCCTGTTGTGCAGTGTAACTAACCCCGTTTGTACCGCCGTCGGCAGCGCGCGCCTACAGCGAGGACTCTGGCAGCTCGGTGGGCGAGGCCCACCTGTCCACCGAGCGGCAGATCTCCAGCGTCCAGGTGGTGAGTGGCCCGCACCGGTGGGCGCAGGACGGGGGGGGGGGGGCCCTCACCGAGACGTGCGTGGGAGCAGCGGCTGTGATCTGTCGGAGCTCCGGCACTGGGAGATGCTGCCCTGGACTGCCGTTATCTATGAAATTATGCAAATAGTCACGCGCCTATCCTTTAAGCCATAACCAGGGCAGAATTCAGAGGTGAATCGTTTAACGTCCTTTCATATGCAGGAATGCCCGCTATCGACGGCTGTGAGCCCCTGCTCTGTGATCGCTCGCCAGTGCCGAAGGTGCCGTCCGGTGTTCGGGCTGAGTCTAACCGCTCTCTGGCTCTGTCTGCGGACAGAGCGACTCGGATGAGATGGTGAGCACGGCGGGGATCCTGTCTCACAGCCGGCGCACCCAGCGCCACCGGCTGTCGGCCACCGCCTGCCTGGCCGGCCCGCTCGGCGAGTCCGACTCGGTCAACGAGAACTTCTCGCCGGCACGGCTGCAGCGCAGGTCGGTGCGGTCCCTGCGTGTGTACAGAGACCGGTGCAGGTGTTGGTCTGTGTATACTGAGGTCAGTGCAGTCCCTCTGTACAGGGACCGGTGAGTGGTGTCGGTCTGTGTATACTGAGGTCAGTGCAGTCCCTCTGTGTGTACAGACTAGACCGGGGAGTGGTGTCGGTCTGTATGTTGTGGGGCCAGTGATAGTGCCGTTGCTATGGGGAGGCGATGAGTCGGTGAGCGGTATTAAGTACAGTCAGGATGGTCCGTATATGCCGAGTTCAGCGTGTGTGTGAGCGGTTTATCCGTGCTGTGTGTACTGAGATCAGCAGCTGCCGGCTGTGGGTCCACCCAGGTGAAGCTGTCCCGAAGAAGATCCCTCTGACTCCATCGGCGGTGGACAGGGACGCTCACTTTGTCCCCATCGATGACACCCGGAACGAAAACGCTGTGTCCAGCAGCTCGCGTGACCTTGGCCTGCCTTGTGGTCAGCTGCACCGCTGCCGTCTGCCGCCAGGAAGCGGAAGCTGAAGCGTATGGCGCTGGACAGCGAGATGTCGCAGCCGTCGACGTCCTCGGTGGGCCTGCCGCCGGGCGCCGGCGCCGGCTCTGTCTCCGAGCTCAGCCGGAAGCGCTCCAAGATGCAAGACGGCTACAGCGACCCCAGACACGGGTGAGAGCGGCACGGCGCACACTGGGCCGGTCGCCAGGTCTAGCACGACATGGGTAAAAAATCGAACTTTGTGGATGTGCAATGAAACCTATACCAATTTGTTCAAAAATGATCATATTACATTGCTGTGGTCTTTGTTTTCCAACACAATTGCTATTTCATGGCGAAAACTCAGCTTAAACACGAACTTCGGAATCGTTTGGACCGAACTCGTCCCCGCACTCTTCGACGACGTATCTTTGATCCACGAAAACAATCACAATTTGAGGAGGAATTCCACATTTATATACATCAAACGATAGCTCCGGGTCTGCAGAACACACATAACCACATGAAAATGGCGAACTCATACTTGGTTATGATGTATTGGCACCGCAAAGATTTAAAGACAAAAATATAATTTTACATAATTGATGTCACACACAAATAGACTTTTAAAAAAAGTACCGCAGAGTACCGCTTCGAAAATCTCGCTACATGTCGATCATTCATTGCACTACAAGATCCAACAGTCATTTTTTGCGACTTTTTGCGACTTTGGATGTAGCAGCCAAACATCAACCCGCGCCGGACCGGTGCTCGGCGTCAAACGCGCCGGGCCGGGAGGTGTTGATTGAACACTCCCCTTCTAACTCGGCTCTTGGGCCACATAGCGACACGTAATAAGTGGCATTCGAAAGAGCGCTCGAAATTCCAGATGGAGTAATCAGTCATTTCTAGGTCAGGTCAAATGTCACGTCACCAGAGGTCATCAAAGGTAAAATGTTGCATATATCAACATTTCTCGAAAATCGGCCCATACCTCGGGGACCAATAGAGGTACATCGTCGCGGCAAAGTGCATTCAATTGCTCTTTTAGCGGTCTTTCTGAAATAAACCCTCAGATTTGGCTCAACCCTCGCCCCTAGTGGTGTTTTTCCAGCCACGAACGTATATAAGGAGTCCGTTGGACCCCACCCCACCGCTTCGCCCCTGATCGAGCTAGAGCTTCGCGGAAAAGACGAGCGTGTTGCCCGTGACAAGAGGAAGCTGATGATACCCAATTGTAAGGTCCTAGGTCATCGGTTGACCTTCCAGGTCAGGTCAATAACCCAAAAGTCGGGAAAATCGGGACCTGTTAGAACGTCGTAAAGGGTGGCTGCTATGAGTTTTTTTGGGTGCTGATCACGAATATAATGTTATTTACGATCATACATGATGTCTTCATACATTTAGGCCAGGTCGGGTCAGGTCAGGTCAGGTCAATCAGTAAGGGTTTGGCCGGGTATTTGCAGTAGGTGGCAACCGCCTCTGACAGCTTTGTAACATGTTCGGAAGGCACCAAATCTACATAGTAAATGTTCAAATGGTTGCTAGATTCGAATTCAGCTCCAAAAACTACCCTAGAAACATGTAAAACTCGAAAAAGTGAACCAAGTTCATCAAAGGTCAGTGACCTTAACTGACCTTCTGGTGACCTTGACACCCACCCTAATGCATTAGAGCAGCATAATATCCCATGTTTGAACGCTTTAAACCAAGAAAAGACTGCAAACCCGCGGCTAATGCGAGCCGACATACGCTGAATCGCGATTCCGGCCAAACATGGTCTCGAAAGAAGGTCACAGATCAAAGATCATTAAGGTCAGGGTCATGACATTTTCAGGTTAGCTGTAAAAGTAGTTATCGCGAGGGTACTGAAAGTTTCGTTGCGATCGGCCGCTTTTTACGCGAATTACTCGCGAAAAACCAAGGGTTCCGTTCGAAGATTCAGGCCCTGTCGCGCTAGAATGGCATATCGGCCCACTGTGCGGCGGCTGGACTATGTCACCGGGAGACGGGAAATCTTTCGGTGCCCGATGCGCGTCTTGGAATGTTGGAATCTTAGAACAGAGTGTCAATTAACTTCAAGGTGTCATGTTTGTCGATGAACCTCAATAACTTACGTGTTGTGAGCTGTGACATTAATCAGACAAGGTCAAGGACTACGATTCATGGGTCGTAATATTCTGTGATGTGTCGGTAACGTTGACCTGCATTTTCCAAACATTTTTCCTTCTCCTGAAGCTAACATCGTCTGCGACTGATTTTAGTCATACTAAGCTGTGTTGCTATACCATTGGGACGTCGCACCAGCAATGAGATGTGCGGTCAGCCAGCTTCGGCGTGGGACGCTCAGTCCCCATCTCCCTGTCTGACGGACCGGCCGCCCCTTACCCCGAATGGCTGCGTGTGGCTGGCTGGTCGTGTCCCCATCCCCCGTCTGATGGACCTAGCCTGACGGACCGGCCGCTCCTCCCCCTCCCCCGTCTGACGGACGGGCGGCCGTTTCAGGTCGCTGCGTCGGATGTGGAAGCGCAAGTGTGACCGTAAGGAGGGCGGCATGTTCCCGCCGCGCCGGCCACTGCAGGACCAGGAGGAGATGGAGTGCAGCGACCTCGACCGGCTGCACGGGTGGGTAACCGACAGACGGACCGGCTGCACGGGTGGGTAACTAACAGACCGACCGGCTGCACGGGTGGGTAACTGACAGACCGACCGGCTGCACGGGTGGGTAACGGACAGACCGACCGGCTGCACGGGTGGGTAACTGACAGACCCCGTGCAGCACGGGGGTAACTGCCATACTGCACGGGTGGGTAACGGACAGACCGACCGGCTGCACGGGTAGGCAACTGACATACTGGACGGGTGGGTGATTGACCGACCGGCTGCACGGGGGGGGGGGGGGTAACCGACAGACCGACCGGCTGCACGGGTGGGTAACCGACAGACGGACCGGCTGCACGGGTGGGTAACCGACAGACCGACCGGCTGCACGGGTGGGTAACCGACAGACCGACCGGCTGCACGGGTGGGTAACCGACAGACCGACCGGCTGCACGAGTGGGTAACTGACATACTGCGCGGGCGGGTAGCTTACTTCGTCAGTCGGGCATTTACACCCCACCGTGATTCTGAGGTAGCCGCGAGGGATACCTGATGTCTGGCTGATATGCTGAACTAACTGTGAATGGATGGCTGCTGCCGAAACACGACCACCCAGAGGCCCTGGGCCGCCCCTAAACCACTCCTAGGCCACCCCGTGCCATAGTGCCACCAGTGCGGTCCCAGGCCACCCCTGGTTCTGCCGCTGACTTTGCCAATCCTGGTTCCTACTGCTGAGCTTTTGCCGCCCCTGGTCCCTTTCGCTGACTCTCTCCAGCCGTCTGCTGTCGCTGACCCTCTCTCCCGGCTCCTGCCGCTGACCCTCTCTCCCCGCTCCTGCCGCTGACCCTCTGTCCCGTCTGCTGCCGCTGACCCTCTGTCCCGGCTCCTGCCGCTGACCCTCTCTCCCCGCTCCTGCCGCTGACCCTCTCTCCCCGCTCCTGCCGCTGACCCTCTGTCCCGTCTGCTGTCGCTGACCCTCTCTCCCCGCTCCTGCCGCTGACCCTCTCTCCCCGCTCCTGCCGCTGACCCTCTGTCCGCTCTCTCCTTGCTCAGGGACATGCTGAGCAGCAGCAGCCTGAGCTCTGCCGGCGAGTCGGACGGCCTGGACGACCCGGGCGTCTACACCAACGACGAGGGACGGGAGGGCGACGACGAACAGTCGGACTGGTACCACGAGCCGGCCGACGAGCCGCCCGAGCGGACCGCCCGGCCCGCCCGGCCCGCAGCCGCCGCCGCCGCCGCCGCCGCCTCCGGCCGCTCCGGGCCCATCAAGGTGCGTGCGACTCGGGGAGGGCTCAGGAGGGATGGCCAGACGGACCGTGTCAGTCCCCGGCGGCTGCCAGCGCGGTGGTGGTCTGGGCGGGTGTTAACGGTATGATGGACGCGGGTGTTTGATGTTTGGGGAGTATATTGCGCCCAGATCATATTTGTTTGGTGACCCTGACCGCCCCGGCCGTCCGTATTCGTTGCTAGTCTGCAGTCTGCTCGGCCCGCTGCCGGTACCTGCGCAGTTGGTCCGGTCTGTCCGCTGTCTGCTGCTGTCAGTGTAGCCTGGTCCCCTCTGGCGGTACCTATCCAGTCTTTGGTGTCTGTTAGTGCAGGGTAGTCTGGTCTTGCAGTGGGCGCCGTCAGTAGCTGCAGTATGAGCCGTTCCCGGTCGGACTGTGGCTCTCCACTATCTGACGCCTGTGTGTCTCCCGCAGCCGAGCCGGGAGATCCGCGCCGGCCGACGCCGTCTGCGGGACCGGCGGCCAGCCTTCTCCATCGTCTCGTCACTCAACGACCGGGTGGCCGCCTTCCTGCAGGTCAGTGGACGGGGCGGACGGCGCGCCGGCCAGCTGGTCAGTCAGCCTCACAGGGGCGGGGTGGCGGCGGAGCCGGGACGGAGCTTTACGGGCGGACGGCGCGCCGGCCAGCTGGTCAGTCAGCCTCACAGGGGCGGGGTGGCAGCGCAGCCGGGACGGGACTGTACGGGCGAGCGGTCAGCCTCACGGAGAGGGGAGTGGCAGGGGACTGGCACCGAGTTGTGCTAGGTCTGAGAGTGCTCGAGTGTTTCGAGGGACACGGACGGCAGGGAAGGGTTTTCGTTGTACATGCGAACTGCCATGTACCGTACAATTTGTGCTTCCTTTGGCACGGGTAAGGCCAATGACAGATCGGATAGCGTTGATATCGTTATGGCTCTGATCCGCCTTTAGGACCCGCAGCAGACGGAGGTGCACCTGCAGACGGGCGGCGCCAAGGCCGAGGAGGACCAGCTCGGCCACCTGGCCAACCTGTACTCGCTCAGAGTGCGCCGGGACGCGCCCGGCTCCTTCAGCGCCTTCAAGACCGGGTCAGTACGAGTCGGTCAGTCGGTGGGGTCATATCAGACCGGGTCAGTACGAGCCGATCAGTCGGCGGGGTCATTTCAGACCGGGTCAGTACGAGTCGATCAGTCGGCAGCAGAACCTCGGGACCCGACCGGCAGCCGTGGTGGTCAGTGGTCATGCGAGGCGACTTGTATTGCGGTGACAAGTTTACTTCCAACTTCAAGATTTTACTCATTATAAGGTGGATCTACGCTATTCAAGATTTTACATACAAAGTGTAATACCAACGTTATCAGCATAACATGGATAATAGAACGAAGCGAACAGTATGTAAAGTGGCATTATGGGTTATTTTGCTCTCCCCAATATGACGCGTCCTCCCGTTTCCCCAGGATGACCACGCGCGGCGTGCTCGTGTCGCCCGAGTACCAGGGCCGCGGCGGCTCTGGCGACTCGAAGCGGCGCCGGCGCACCACGCCGTCCGTGTCTGTGGACCAGTTCTGCGTGCCGGCCGAGCCGCGCGGCGCGCCGTCCGTGCCGTGGCTGCAGCCGCTGCAGCCGCTGCCGCTGGCCGCCGGAGAGGCCGGCTGCAGCCGACCGACCAGCGGCGACGGCCACACGCCCGTGCCGCCCGAGTCGTCCAGTCCACAGACCACCGAGGAGCCGCACTCGCCAGCCAATGACGCCGAGTAGCCGCCGGCGCGGAGGGTGAGGGACTGCCAGCCGGACTGGGGATGGACGGGGGCACGGGGGGAGAGACGGAGGGACACGTAGAGGGACGCGTAGAGAGACGGCGTCAGGTAGACACAGTGATAGAGACTGTGTACGGATAGATGGATGACGGGGAGAGACTGAGGACGGGTAGAAGTAGGCAGACTGGTGATAGACGGCGAACGGTGGAAGGTGGGCACAGAGACGGCGGACGGGGAGGGACGGACGCAGGAGCTGACAGAGGATGGATATAGACGGACGGAGAGGCTGGGATAGACACTGGTGGACGCCGGGGACTCTGAGGAAGACAGACGGGTGGACATTGGACAAACAGAGGGTAAGACGGTGGACGGAGGGAGGGACCTCGAGATGGCCGACACTGGGGGTGAGACGACGGTTCGCCTGCTTTACCGCCACTTTAAAAAAAGTCCAGAATGCTGGCGCAGTCAGTGTTTGGTTGCTGGAAGGTGGTCCACAGTTATGCCGAAACCTGAGTGAAACCCGTGATTAGTATTTATGGCTTAACGTATGAATTTTTATGATTGAAGTCTGGTGACGCGACTAGGCAGTGTGAAGTTGTGAATGGCGTGCGCGAGTGAAGCATCTACCTCTGGCTATGTAGAGCGGCGGCTGGAGGCTGGTCCCGGCCGCCACCACCTGACTGGCGCTGCCGCCAGCCCCGGGCACCCTGGTGTGGTCTCCCGTCAGCGGGTACCCGGGCGTCGTGTACCGGTGTAGTGGAGGACCGCCTGGTGTGGTCTCCCGTCAGCGGGTACCCGGGCGTCGTGTACCGGTGTAGTGGAGGGAAGGACAGCGGTACACCTCTTCTGGTCTAACGGGTACAGACGTACCGGTCCGCAGCGGTCTGAGTATTGAACCAGTCCTGTCCAACCCGTGTTCAACACGAACCAGTCCGGTCCAACCTGTAAGACAAACATGGTCCAAGACCATTAGCCAGCCCAGTCCAATATATTTATCGGCGCCGCCCTGCCATTCTACAGGTCATCGCATGCGTGACATTCCTGAACAATGTATATGGCCGTACCAGTCTAGATGTTCTGCTCTTAGTGTACAGCGCGTCTGTAGATGTTGTGTTTTACGCCACGTCCGGACGGCGGTGGTGGTGTGGCGGTCATTTAGATACTACTGGTCTGAAAACCTCGTCGTCCGCCACTGGTGAGCTAGTCACTGCGGCGGGCCACTCACCTCTGGACAGGGCCACGTCAGTCGGATCCCCAGGCCGTGCCCGTACAGTGACCCGGGCCGCTGTCAGGTCCCACCAATACCGCACAGAGTGACCCGGGCCGCTGTAAGGCCCACCAGTACCGCACAGTGACCCGGGCCGCTGTAAGGCCCCACCAGTAAATCGATCGGCAGGTGCGGGCGGCGCTTCTGTGGGGAGTGTGAGAAATAATCGATACACTACCGTGTCCGCTAACAATCCGTTCAGGGGCTGCGCTCCTGATTATTGCTTGCCATTGATCTCTATACAATTTGACAGTTCGGTCGGCTATCAAAATGTTGTCCATATGTACAGAAGAAGGCCGTATTGTAACTACGTATATGACAATACACATCTGCGAACGAAGTCGCTGGTGTAATATTGCAGCACCGGATCTTGCAACCATTCCTTCTTGAAGAATTATATTTTAAGCGACAACTATATGGAAAGCTGGTGGTCTGCCGATCCGATACTTCGGATTCAGGATTGTGACCAAGGCTAGGATGAACAACACTGTTTATGGATATTGGTGTCCTGAAGGTATGCTGTTGGATTTTGTTCATTATCAAGGAATACCAAACTCGCCCGATGTTGATGAGACCATATGACTATTTGCCATCAAGTTTCTGTCTGGCTCAGGAAGTTTGGGTGTGAAAGACTATTCTGTTTTTGAAGGCACTCCACCAAAATATTAAAGCGGGGGCACGGTAGCAATTAATTACTTAATGTTACACGGTACACCATGATTGCAATGTTTTACCGCAACAAATTGAATGAATCGCCTTTGCACAGATGGGATGCGGCCACCACACCACCCAGCTTGCAGGATGTTTCGCGGGAGACTTGACGGCCGGTGAATGGGTGAGCCATCCCGGGTGCGGCAGAGTGTCGGTCGGGTGCTCTGCCCGGTTTGCAGCTCTTCTGTGGCTGCACGTGGCCCGTTTCTGGTTGAAGTGCGGCGCCGGTGACCTCCATTAGCCCAGCGACCGTGGCGGCGGCTGTCGGGCGGGGCCGGGCGGCCGCTCTGTCGGCCGGGCTCGGTGCAGGAGCAGGGAGCCGACCCGGCCGCCGCCACTGCTCGCACGGTCCGCCTCCTCCAGAGCCGTAAACAGACACCGATAGGAAGATGGGTGGGAGAGAGGGTAGGGACGGGAGGGGACAGGCTCAAGGTCACCCCACTAGGAGCCGCCCACCCACAACGAACGCGTAACCTTTCCAACAGCACTACGACGATTCCATAGCAGAGTTGAGAGTATCGTACGCCGGCGTCCCCTCTAATACCTATTCTAACCATAGGCCGGCATCCTTCCTATACCTACTCGTTTCGTAATTGGTAGGTAATCGCAGCACCGCTGCAGCGCGGTTCCCGTCTCCATCCAAGGACTCGCGCGGCTCGCTCGTCACGGAGACCTACGTGATCGGGGAGGGGGGTCGCTGCGGGGCCGGGGCGCAGTTCCCCGTACCGACCCAGGCTGCTGCGGCAGGACCGCGCAGTCGGACGGATGGGTGACGCCGGACATTGACTCACCACTGGCCGTGACCCAGTGCCGAGGGCGGCGCCGTCCGCACCGGCCGAGTCGACCGACATTGGCGTCTGATACTGCTGACTGACACTGCTGACTGCTGACTGACACTACTGACACTGCCGACCGACACTGTTGACACTGCTGGCTGCTGGCACTGCTGACTGCTGGCACTGCTGACCGACATTGCTGACTGACACTGCTGACTGACGCTGCTGATCGACACTGCTGACTGACACTGCCGACTGACACTGCCGACTGACACCTCTGACCGACACTGCTGACACTGCTGAATGACACTTCTGACTGACACTGCTGACACTGCTGACTGCCACTGCTGATTGCTGATATAGCTGACTGATACCGCTGACTGACACTGCTGACTGATGACACCGCTGACTGACACGCTAACTGACACTGCTGACCGACATTGCTGAATGTCACTGCTAACTGACACTGCTGACGCTGGTGACACCGCTGACCGACCTGCTGAATGACACTTCTGACACTGCCGATCGACACTGCTGACTGACACTGCTGACACTGCTGATTGCTGATATCGCTGACTGATATCGCTGACTGACACTGCTGACTGATGACACCGTCACCGCTGACTGACGCGCTAACTGACACTGCCGATACTGCTGACGACACTGCTGACTGATATTGTTGACTGATACTACTGACATTGCTAATGACACTGCTGACTGACATTGCTGATACTGCTGACTGACACTGCCGGCCGATACTGCTGAATTACACTGCTGACTGACACTGCTGACTGATATTGTTGGCTGATATTACTGACTGATATTGTTGAATGATGCTACTGACATTGCTAACTGACACTGCTGATCGACACTACCGACTTAGGTACCTACTATAGAATATGGTTGACACTGCTGGACGCTGGCTGACTGCTGGTTGTGTGCGACGTGAAAAGGCAAACCCATGCACAGTTCTACATACATTTTAATCAGCATTCAGTACAGCATGCGACGACGCAGCTCAAGTCCAACGAACTGAATACACTGATATAGCAGTGCACAGCCGTCACGTCCCACAATTTGCAATGGAAAATGCATATACACATTCCCGTCTGTGCCTCTTGTGAGTGATCAAGGTGCTCAGACGGGTGGGTTGGTAGGCGTAGGAATATGTATAGATATAAACGTAAACACTGCTTACGACCAGAGGTGACGAGGAAGAACGTTGAGAGACAAATTATCGACCGCTAAACGATTAGATTAAGAACGTCTGTCGTTAACCTAAAGAACGATAGGCCTCCCGCCTCAGGAAGACATCGCTCGCAAACGTATGTCCCGCACAAGTTTGCGACGATACAAATTACAAATGCCTACATACAAATCATCCCCAGACCCCAATCAGTATATGCCCGCGCGTGTGGTGTGTTACTTCGGCCGAACGTTCACAGTACTTTTGTTCCGTTTCCATCAATGGGTTTGGTAAGTTCTGGTGAAGTGCGGGACCGTCCCAGGATGTATCAGTCTCGAGCTAGCTGAGTCAGTCAGCTCCACTCCGCGTGGAGGGGCGAGCTCGCCCGGCCTGGCCTCGGGCGGTCACGACCGCGTGGAACGTGACACAGACCAGGACCCGGAGCGTCAGGCCCGGACTTCAGGGCCAGTGGAGCTGGGAGGCGCTGAGCTGTCGGCTATAGCACAGTCACTGCACATACGAACAGGACGAGTAGGGTAAGGTGCCTAATTAGCGACCCTTTCCTGTTTGCGACCTACCTCCCTACAGAAAAACTGGCAGGATAAAACGGGTTAACCCGCGCCGGGCCGGTGCTCTGAGATTCCGCGCCGGGCCGCGGGGGGTGTCTGAACACCCCCCCCCCCTTCTAACTCGGCTCCTGGGCCACGTAGCGACACGCGGTAATCGGCAATCGAAAGAACGTCAAAAATAAGGACGAAAACACTTCAGTCATTTTTTTGGTCAGGTCAAAGGTCAGGTCACCAGAGGTCATCAAAGGTAAAATGTTGACTATTTCAACATTTTGGAAACTGCCAACGGCTATCTCGGGAACCGATAGAGCTACAGCGCCGCAAAAAAGCGCATTCGATAGCCCTTTTACAGACCTTTCTGAGTAATGCTCTCAGATTTGACCTCAGGTCAACGGTTTAGCCTCCAGAGGGCAAAAACTCCAAAAATAGCCGTTTTTACGTAAAACGTTTTTTTTTGGCAATAACTTTTGACTCAAAAGAGCTATGACATTTCTTTTGCCAGCATCGTGTTCTTCTCGTCGAGACGCGTCGAATGAACTATAATTTGACCTTGAAAGGTCAACTTGAAAATTTGACCTCAGGTCAAGGTCATGACCTGACCGGAAAAGGTCATGTTGCATATCAGTCGATCCGCAACGTCGAGCCGAACACATCTAAGGCGTTTTCAGCATTCTAGCACGCCTCTATCAGAAGTTATCATCGAAAAACTGTTAGATTCTGTTCGTGACCTGAGATGACCTCGGGGACATAACGAGGGGTCACAGTTGCCATTGTCTGGTTCAGTGTGTCTATTTTACCTACATCTCGATGTTTGAGAGTGTCTAGAATAGCGTTCGTGCAAAACAGACGCTTTTCAATTTTCTCCCATTGACTTATAATGGAGAGGCCGCAAAATTGACCTGACCTTAGGTCACCGATATCAAAATTCCGAGATATACATTTTATAGATAGTGTTGCTCTTATCAATCGCTGAAAGTTTCAAGGCAATCGTTCAGTCGGTGTAGCTATGACGAGCATTCTTATTTTTTTCTTAGGTGAGGTCACTTGGCGTGACCTGGTGACCTGACCTAAGGTGACCTGGGTCTGAAATTTTCACAACATGTGCGGAAAAGATGCACGAACAGGTGTGCCAAATTTGAAATCTTTGGCCTAAATGGACCATAAACATGTGTCACGTGACCGACTTATGACATAAGATTTCCGTGACCTATGACGACCTGACCCTGACCTGAAAATCAAAGTACAAGTTTGTTACCCTCAGGGTATCTAAAGCATCTGGTCACGAGTGTGTAAACAAAAAATCAGCCTGATCTGACTTGTAAGACGGCAGCCAGAGCCCAAAATGTGAACAAACCAAATATCGATAGTTTTTACTTTGACCTGACCTGTGACGTCATCGGTGACCTCGAGGTCAATGAAATTAGGTTTCGCTCGACAGTTTTTCCGGGGCTATCAGGTGCCGTTTGAATTTTGACGATCGGTCCAGTAGTAATTCGGAGTTAGGAGGGGGGGCTATGAATAGCCCCCCCCCCCCCAGTAGGGCGTGTTATACACAGACCACAGTGGGGCGCGGGTCAAGTACCTATGTAGGTATAAGAGGCTGAGTATTTGGAAGAAAGTTAGCATTTCTCTAATATCCCCAAGCTGGTTTGGTTTCGGTATTATCCCATGGTTTTGGTTGATACCTATTTGGTTTGGTATCGGCATTCCGATTTTCTGTCATTGACATCACTACGCTAAATACATAGTGATGGCTGCTGCGCGGACCCCGACCTCCAGGCTCCAACGTTCGATCGGTAAGATCGGTAAGATAGGATAGGTAAGCATCCTCATGTAAATCGAGTGCCAGAACAACAGGACTCCCACTAATCGCTTTAGGTATACAGGAGCCGGGACCAGCACCAGTTGAGTTATAAATCACTTCGCATCTGGCCAATACATCGACTGGATTTGGGAGTGATGGCTGATGGATGTTGTTTGGCTGCAGGCGCCGGCGAGGTCCGGAAGCCGACGGGATTCCCGTCCTTTTGATAAGCTGCGCTGTGACCTTCCATGCTCGAGAGAATCCCAAGGCGGCTGAACGGCGTGATAAGCGAAT